AAGATTTCAGACCTGTTAAACTCATCAGAGAATGTCCCAGGTGGGTAATCTTCTCTTGGTAAGTTCCAGGAATAGACAATGACTGAAGCTCAGCTGAGAATTAAAAAAAAATTATGAGATTTTAATCTTTTCTTTTGAAAACAATTATAATAATAAAGGTCAAGTTCTTGGTGTTTGGATATAGAGTAGACACTGACACAGATTCTTGGTTTAATTCAACTTTACTCAGGCTCCTGAATCTTCTCCTCGGCCATCTGCGCCCTTCCTTGTAAAGTCCAGTTTAGTGTGGCCACAACCCCCACCCTCAGTATCTGCTCAGGTTCCCTATCCCCAGATCCCACAGGTGGTGTCTGATCACCCTGGCCTCTCTTTCGCAATAATCCCGTTCAGTCGGTTTAGCCCAAATCCCCTTACTCCTCATGTGTCCTCTCAGTCATTTTCCACCCACTGCCCCTGCCCTCATCCTCGGCTATGAACTCCCCCTGGTTGCTGCTGTACTTGGAGCTGAGCTCCATCTCTCTCCCCTACTGCAAAATCCCAGCACTGTGACCCCAGGCCCACCTCGATGGCTCTGAATAAAGCCTTCCTCACCGTGCCTGACGAGGGTCATTCAAAACATTTCTTCCTCCAACAGTACACGTAAAAAGACTGAGAGACAAATGTTAACATGTGTCCTATTGTGGAATAAATCCCTTTACTTTCCCTCTTACACATTTCTGTATTTTCGGCTTTTCTTAGAGAGAGATGTATCCTCGTAATCTGAAAAAGGCACCTAGAACCCAGTACAACTCCTTTGGAGTTGGACTATCAGCACTGACGAGCAAGGAATGTACCTGAAGTTTCAGCTTATGTTTATCTCTGCAGTACCTCCAGGCCACACGCTTCTTCCCACCTTTACTGCCTCCAAAACCACCTCTCCCCAGGAACCCCCAATTCATCTCCCGCCTCCACTCCGGCTGCTCAGTTCCGTCACGCCTTGCAGCCATCACCATCCGAAACCCACTAGTCGGGTAACCTGTCTGCTGTCCTCCTCTTACACCTGTGGTCGGGCTGTGCAAGCCCCATGCACCCTGCAAGCCTCTGCAACGTGCACTCATAAGTAGTCATTAGATCAACGTTAACTACAAGATCAAAGTTTCCACAATCAAAAAGACAGTTTAGATCTGAATACATCAACACTTTCCCAGGAACATTTATGTTTTAGAATACGTTTTGGGTTTTTTGTTTT